AGTTACCCCACACTGACGCTAACCTTCCACACCCCGTCCCCCGGACACACACACACACACACCCTAACATACTGTTTTCTATTAAAAAGTTATATTTATTAGTTTTGTCACCTTGTGCAGTCCATCTGTCACTTATTTTTACGATAAACCTTAAAATACTAATTAAAAGAACTTCATAAACAATGTTATGAAGAATAAGTCGAGGATCACCTGAGGGCAACGCTCCCCCCCCCCGCCCTCACAACAACAATCCCTCCTGACAACACCCCCCCCCCCGCCCTCGTAGTATTACAACCACCATACCTACATACCTTTCCCGCCAAAACGCCTATCTTCACTATTCATTCACACTGGTGCAGGACTATCATGGCCACTGTCAAGCTACCACAGCGTCGCCGGTGTCTTGTGGGGTCATCTCAGAGTGCTGGATAAAGAAGGCGAGAACATACGTCTACCCCAAGGCGAGTGTGTTGCTAAATATAGCAACGGCCATGCTTGCTCGCAGCCGCGTGCGCGCACCCCCACACAAACCCTAACAATACAAAAAACGCACACAACACATTCGTGTACATGTATACACACACACACGTGACGAGTTGTCTAGTGAATGGGTGAACCTATGAGTGCTAGTGTGGGAGGGAGGGTGGCCTAGGAAAGGGAGGATGTGTGTAAAGGTAGTGACCATGCCAAGGCTGACCCCTTCCGCCTCCCCACCCCCATCAACCCTCAGCAACCCGAACCAAGGTTGAAGCCCCATCCAGGCGCCCCTTAGCAACAAACTGGGTTAAAATCCGAGAGGGACGGCCGTAACGCAAACAAAACGACGATTTCTTTCAGAAAAGATTACACTCATTCCAACACACCACTTGGTCATACAGCTGAATCAATGAAGTTAAGAATCCGTGTCACAAGAACTGGACATGAAAAAAAACTACATTAAGAAGCTAGGCCAGAAGACACACAGTATGAAGCACTCAATGAAATATTCCAACTTTGTACACGTTTAGCCTCCTACAGTTGCCTTAAGTATACATGTCAATGACGCTACTCTCGAAGTTTGCCTAACCCATCAGTAATTATAATAGCAAACTTTTCTGTCTATTCTCCTTGTATCTCTCTTACTGTGTTATGAAAAACACCACACTGAGACAACACGGGAAATTAGGTGGGTCTGTACATCTACCTCCAACTGCAGCCAAAAGAAAGATCCTCGATACTGGGGATCAAATTTTATCAGTCTCCTGTGGACGTTGAAGTATGAATAAAACTGAACCCCTATCCACGAGTTTTGTATTATGAATGAAAACTAACACCTCCATCCCCTACAACTCAAGAGCCATGCCCCCCCTAACAACCATCACCCCCCTTTCCCGAAAAAAAACTGTCCTCTCTCCTTTCTCCACTCCTCAGTGGAAGACAGACCTTCCCGCCAGAAGTGGCCAGCGGGTACCTTTTAGTCTACTGGATAATCATAAGACGGTTGCCAGGTCACGGGCAGGAACTGGTGGAAGAGAACGATAAGGGGGAAAAAAAAAAAGGAGATAGGAAGACGGGGGAAAACGAAGGGGGGGAGGTAAGCCAGAGTAGTAGATGGAGGAATGGAATGGTAGCCAGGTTACCAGGTAGCCAAATTTGAGTCAGATAAGGGAGGAGCAAGAGCAAAGGAAAGGGTCAAGGAGGTAGGTAGGGGTGTGTACTCGCCTAGTTGTATTTCAGGGGACGATTCAGTGTGTGTGTGTGTATATATATATAATATATATATATATATATATAATATATATATATATATATATGTACTCACCTAGTTGAGGCTGCGGGGGTCGAGTCCGAGCTCCTGGCCCCGTGTGTGTGTGTGTGTGTGTGTGTGTGTGTGTGTGTGTGTGTGTGTGTGTGTGTGTGTGTGTGTGTGTGTGTGTGTGTGTGTGTGTGTGTGTGTACGTACTTACCTATTTGTACTCTTTGTGGTTGCAAGGGTCGAGTCATAGCTCCTGGCTCCGCCTGTTCACTGACTGGTACACTAAGGGAAAGCACCATAAGTGTCCGGGGCCCGAAACTGTTCAACAGCCTCCCATTTAGCATTAGGGGAATTGCCAATAAGCCCCTGGCTGCCTTTAAGAGAGCTGGACAGATACCTAAAGTCAGTGCCGGATCAGCCGGGCTGTGGCTCGTACGTTGAACTGCGTGCGGCCAGCAGTAACAGCCTAGTTGATCAGGCCCTGATCCATCGGGAGGCCTGGTCATGGACCGGGCCGCGGGGGCGTCGATCCCCGGAATAACCTCCAGGTAATCCAGGTAACCAGGTCCTCTCTCTCCCTGCTCCACGAGCTTTATCAAACCTCGTCTTAAAACTATGTATGGTTCCTGCCTCCACTACGTCACTTTCTAGTCTATTCCACTTCCTGACAACTATGACTGAAGAAATACTTCCTAACATCCCTTTGACTCTTAAGAGTCTTCAACTTCCAATTGTGACCCCTTGTTTTTGTGTCCTATCTCTGGAGCATCCTGTCTGTCCACCTTGTGAATTCCTCGCAGTATTTTATACGTCGTTATCATGTCTCCCCTGACCCTCCTGTCCTCCAGTGTCGTCAGGCCGATTTCCCTTGACCTTTCTTCGCAGGACAATCCCTTTAGTTCTGGAACTAGTCTTGTTGCAAACCTTTGCACTTTCTCTAATTTCTTGACGTGCTTGATCAGATGTGGCTTCCAAACTGGTGCTGCATACTCCAATATGGGCCTGACGTATATGGTGTACAGAGTCTTGAACGATTCCTTACTGAAGTATCGGAACGCTATTCTTAGGTTTACCAGACGCCCGTATGCTGCAGCAGTTATCTGATTGATGTGCACCTCAGGAGATATGCTCGGTATTATACTCACCTCAAGATCTTTTTTCCTTGAGAGAGGTTTGCAGTCTTCGGCCACCTCCAGGTAGACCTATAGACTATACTCTGTCTGCGGTCTTCTTTGCCTTTCCCCCGATCATGACTTTGCATTTGGCGGAGTTAAATTCAAGGAGCCAGTTGCTGGACCAGGCTTGTAGCCTGTCCAAGTCTTTTTGTAGTTCGAGTGTGTAAAACTGGTCAATTAGCAACAACTCTCAAAATTAAATCCTTTCTAAAAATTTCTTTTACGCTTCAATATACATTTTTTCAAATATGTTAATGTAAAAATTATTAATTTTGTACCAAAAGAACCTTCGAAAATTTAACTAACCTTATTATAACAAGCGCAATTTAATTTATCCTAATTCAACTAAATATATTTTAGACAAGTTTACAATAATTTGATAATAAACTGTTTTTGTTAGGTTCGCGATGATTTCTGGGAAATTATTGCATACAATTTTAGCTTGCCTTATTCGGCAAGAAGAGCGTTGCCATTTAAGTCAAAATCGCAAGTTTTACCTATTCGACACGACATACACAAGCAGTGAAGAGAGGACTGGAAGCTAGGGAGGGGGAGAGGTGAGGAGGGAAGTTAGGGAGGGGGAGAGGTGAGGAGGGAAGTTAGGGAGGGGGAGAGGTGAGGAGGGAAGTTAGGGAGGGGGAGAGGTGAGGAGGGAAGTTAGGGAGGGGGAGAGGTGAGGAGGGAAGTTAGGGAGGGGGAGAGGTGAGGAGGGAAGTTAGGGATGGGGAGAGGTGAGGAGGGAAGTTAGGGATGGGGAGAGGTGAGGAGGGAAGTTAGGGATAGGGAGAGGTGAGGAGGGAAGTTAGGGATAGGGAGAGGTGAGGAGGGAAGTTAGGGATAGGGAGAGGTGAGGAGGGAAGTTAGGGATAGGGAGAGGTGAGGAGGGAAGTTAGGGAGAGGGAGAGGTGAGGAGGGAAGTTAGGGAGAGGGAGAGGTGAGGAGGGAAGTTAAAACAACCTGTGAATATTTACAACGAACTCTTCTGAAACTCGTTTTAAATAAAAGGCACGGGAAAGTCGTGGTCAGTCTCCGTCTCCTTGTTAGTTACCCAACGGAATCTTTCTCCACCCCATCTTCACAGTTACCTTTCCGAAACGTAGTCACACACGTACATTCTCAAAGCAACACAAACACTGACATTCCTAGTATCCAGCGAAGGACGAATATGACAATGTATTTGACAAGTCATGTTATGGGTGAGCCAGATGGACTGCGGGTGGAGGGAGGAGGGGCACAGGTAAACAGGTAAGGAGAGGCTGCTGAGGGTGAATACTGTGGGAGGGCAGCTGGCTCCCACCTTCTGTTGCCCCGTCTGCCTACGTCTGAGAAACACCCCCAAGTTTTGTCAGGCTTCCTCCTGTCTGCTTGGAGAGAGTCGCTTCTCGACTCTACTAACACTAGTCCCTTGGATACCGCCAGTCTTACGAACTAAGTAGGGACAAGCTTAGAAAGAGTGGAAAGGAGAAGTCCATCTTGAAGGGCGTGTGCAGGCGTGGCGGCGAGGCCGCCTACACCCACGCCTGTATGCGCGCCTCCCACACCCTGGGACCAGACACAGTCGGCCCATATCGATCCTGTGAACCCTCCCTTCCCTCTCTACCAAAGCTACACTTTCCTCCCTCTCCACCTTCTTTCCACCTCTCAACGTTCAACCCCTCCCCCCTCCTCAGAATCCCCCTTCTCTCCACCTCACGCACCACTATGTAACCCAATTCAGCCAGCACATCCAAGCCGACCACAGGACTAGCGAGCAAGGTAACAGGAGACTGATGATGCGCGGAGAATGCCACGCCACACCACTACCAACCGTCCCGGGACCTTTGGCCTAGTTTCCCCGGTACATGCAAATGTTTTGATGGGCATGCTTGCACCATCACGCCCCCATGCTTACATCATGACAACATCCTTTTTTCGGGTCAGCTGTTTATCTTTGCCAAGTCTGTGCCTAATAAAACTATGTATGGCTCACTCTTAAATCCACCTCGGCTATTGCATACATACTCATGTCATTTAAATCCTTCCAGGTTACCTAAGATTGCATGAGCCCTTACGCCCTTCCCCTTCTCCCTCGGGTAACCATAGGTACTTACCATCTCCCAAGCTGTGATCTTGGCCTTGGCGACCTGCTTAATAGCGACAGGGGCGCCGTCTCGAACCCGCCAGCCGGAATACACTGTACCGAAGCCGCCTTTACCTAGGACGGTGCCAACACGATACGTCTCGTCCAGGGGGCGACCGCTCCCTGGGAAGGCAGGAAGTCATTGGTCACTAGGCAGCTTCGTTAATAGCAATATTATAAAAGTATATAAAATAATGTCATACAAGAATAATCATTAAACCATAAAATAATAATAGATGCAAACTCTTATGCGCTAAGAGAACCCATAAAAAAAGCTCAAATAAATTCAATCTAAATTCTAGTCTGTAAAACTAGATTTTCAATTAAACATGTAAAACTGATTAAAATTCGTGGAGCAACTAGACTAAACGACGGTGAAAAAAAAAATACTTTAGCATAACGTACATAACTAGCAACTTTTTTTTTGCTAGTTATGTACAGAAAATGGCGAGGGAGCCATTAAAACTGCTCATTTTCACCAATTCAACTATTTTTGTTACTTCAACGAAACCTTGGAATCAAAACCGCAAGCAAAGGAATTTGCACATTAAGCATGTTTTGAACTCAACATGAAAGGTTAATAAACACACTTGGTGTATAAACAATGATCTAACAAATTAAGTCGAGTACTCTGATCCAGCAGCACACACTTCTCGATGTACAACAGAATCAAGTATAAAAGCCGTCACTGCAGTCAGCATGCATTTTCTTACAACTATCATATGATAAACATACTTGACACACATGTTACCTCTAAATAAATTTTGACTTCCGATGAAATACACGATAGCGGGACTTTAAATATTAGATTTTTTTTATTTAAAGTTCAAGTAATCCACTTATATTACTACATAAATCACGGAAGGAAAACAAATAATTCCAGTAATGTACCACAGCATAATATTTACACCTGCACAATAAGTACCAACAATAAAGCTCGATTATTAAAAAAAATTATGCAATTCAAACCTGAAGCACACGTTATCTCAAGGCTAACGACGTTGGTAAACATACGTTTTAACTGACTCGTCACTATTCACTAGATAAGGAAATTTATTGTGCGCACAAGCCCACAATACAACCTACCTGTACATGATGCTCAATACTATTAAGAGGCTATGCAGCAGCCATTGTCTTAACGTACGCAGTATATTAGTATGCACGAGCCCCCTCAACAAACTAAGCCTTTTTTTTTTAAACAAATATCTTATCAAAGCAAACCCAAAAATTAAATTTACAGATAGTCAGCAACTAACAAAACCGTTTACGTATATTTCTTTAAATTTCTACATAATCAACAGAACACGACGGCCAATGTAATTGGCAGTTTCTACCACTCATTCAACGCACTTGTCAATGCACTTGACCCGCATGATATACATATTTGCCCAATTTGAATACTGTACTTGTATGGTCGCGCGACATTCTGCTTAAACATATCATATCCCTTTCATTTCTGCCATCATATGATAAAACTAACCCCTGGGCAGGGCAGGCGGTGCAAAATACCCCAAACGTCAAATAACTAAGATTGACCACTGAAGTACAAAGCATAAAACAGATTAAAAAAAAAGTAAAATATCGCGATAAATCTAGCAATAAACCCAGACTGAACAAAACTGGATTAGAGAGATTACTGGCTAACAATACTACACTTGTGACAGCGAAACAGCCAAGTATCGTAGTTAAGAATATGTAATGGAAAGGTTTGCTGACAGTTAATGTATGAATGGAAATATTTGGGTGTAAATAAAATTAGCCTGTGAAGGCAGTGAATTTCAGAATCAGACGTCACAATGTTATCCAGGCGACAGACTGAAAAAAATACGAGAACTTAAGAATGGTAAGAGCGCTGTAGCAGGCCTACCGGCCATACTAGGCAGGTCCTACTCGCACCCAACCACTCCCACTCATTTACTGTTTTACCTATTTTTAAATATACCCAAAGTACTCGCATCAATGAAGCTACTTGATAGTGTCCACCCATTACAATTCTACTGCAAAACCAGTGCTTTCCTATATCCTACCTAAATCTAAATATATCCAAGCGTGTCCTATCCAGGTCAGGTATGTTTTCGTTTTTTTTTTTTATTTTTACACTTCGATCATATCTTCCCTAATTCCACGCCTTCCTGATGTGCGTAAATTCAGTGCCTTCAGCCTATTTTCATAGGAAGATGAAATACTGAAACCTGAACTGAGCTGCATAATCTTTAATAAGTAGTGCCCCCCCCCCTCACCCTTTCTTGGCCATTATATACCAGTTTTTTTTTTTTTTCTTAAATTCTGTACAGCATCGAAAAAAAATCAGGAGTGAAATATGTAATATCCTACCACTCCACATGTCTCGTTTTATACTTGTTGGTAACTGATACAGTCTCTTACCTACTACGCGAACAAACTTAATTGAGGTCATCCTAATCTGGGTAGGAATAAGGTCACTAAGAGTACAAAAACACACACACCCATGATCTCTGGAGTACAACCACTATCACAACACGTATTTGGATCCTACAACGCTGACAGAAAGCTAGGAAAACACGTATGCAATGTTAATTTACCTCCATTTGCCGTAACTATCGTCGGTATTACTACAAATAAATTATGCAGCTTGTAAGTTGTAATCAGAACCCTGTCAAAATATTAAATGCCTTCAAAACTCCGGTACAATACAAAAGTCCTTTTAAATTGGAAGAGTTTCCCTTTACAAAATATATTTTTGATTTAGACGTTTCCCAAGTCTCACTTGACCTTATCTGAGATCGATACATATTAATACATACTGGCGATTGTTTGCATTAATACATACACGTTTGCGCCTGGGATAATGGTAGGCATTTGGGTTCGATCCAAAAGTAGGGCAGGTCTAATTCCTTGGATCAAGAGTCCCTCCTGTTTCGATAAGGGCTAAACCGGTAGTGGTCATACAGCGCCTGAGAAATGTAAAACAATAAAGTTTTGATTCAAACGAGAGAAAATTTCGATTCCATGGTTCAAAGCTCCTCCCCAGCATCAAGGAATTTCCCGGAGGATTAGTTCATCTGTTTGCTACCAAAAAATTCTGAACGACCCTTTTTACGCAATGAAAACAATTTATTACGGGTTATTGCTGATCCAAGTACCTTATAATAATTATTTCGGGCCTAGATTGCGTAATAACTAAGGTCGACAGATCTATAAAATTTATTAAATAATGTTTTAGTTATTATTAAATTCACTGATAGCAAAAGTTTGTTTCAATTAGTGAGGCACTGCTTACGTAATTAGTTGCACAGATTCTCCCCAAGTCGACAAAAATGATTTTAAATCCCCCCCTCCAATCCTCCATGCACGTTTGCACTATACATCAATATTTTAATTCTCATTTAAATACAACCGTTAAATATTAGGCGACACTTCAAAAGGCCTACGATATGCATAAACACGAACACGTGGCCTATATTGAACGAGTCACATTACATTCATTTTCAATATATAAAAAAAATAGGAAAGCTATTTTACACCCGACGAAAACTAAAAGGATAAAATATATTTGCTTTAACGCAAATTCCCATATACTGACAAACATACTGGTTTGTTGACATGGTCAAAAATCATATATGTTCTAGAGATCTGTCATTTCACTGCACTAAAGATGCCATCAGGAGCATCCTCCAGTAACGGTCATCTTACCCACCACACCTCCAAACATGTGATCAAAATTCCATTGGAACACCAATATTCCCATGGAGAGGTGAAACCGAAGAGACGAGATAATTACCTCTGGCGGGAAGCGGGACTAAGACTCTTGAGGAGTTAGATGTGGGGGAAGCAGTAGGCACAGTAGGTTTACTTGTGGTAGTAGTTATAGGTCCACACTTTGAGCACATTTTGCAAGTGGTGGTAGCTGCGGCAGTTTTCTCGCAAAACACTGCAGGGGTAACACTGCTAGACTGCGGTGCCATGCTTGCTATATGAGAAATCTTTGTAGATACAAGAACATCCACCATATTCCAGGATAATCATTCACTCCTGAGGTTTGTACACTTTAGCACTGAACAACCAGTCTGGGAGATTCAAGCCCAACCTCACAACAGATCCACTCACCACGAGCGCAAGTGTGTAACTGATGAATATATATGTTCCTAGCGCGGTCGTGTCTACTTGGCTCTTATACAAGGTATCCCTCCGCCACTACCACCCTAAATTGCCCCCAAAAACATCCCTAAATTTGAATGGTATATAAAATTATCTTACAAAGTTTTAGCTAATGTGATAGTGTTTACATTTCCAAAATAATTTATACAATTTGTATAGGTTTCTTTAAGATAACAAACCCCAGACATGGAACTAGTTTCTTCCTCTTAGTAAGCGTAATATTTACGTCTGGGGATCTGTGTGTATCCCACGGTTGGCCTGACGTCACTTACAAGAATTCAATACATTCAGGCGCGCAATGCCAACAATTCTAGTGTTTTGATAAAATAAGAGATGTATATTAATCGTAAAGCAAACTTAACGAGATATACACTATCTCTTTTAATAATATATTGATAACCTAGGAAAAATTAAAGCCAAATGCAGATAGCAAGAATAAAAAAATGACAAAACATAATGCGCGAAGACCTGAGAGGTTGGTAGTTCCGGACTTGCCCGTAGACACTTCAGCCAATGAGCGCGTGAAGCTCCTTGCTAGACCAATCAGAATGCACATTTCATTGTGCATTTGGCAACTCCTCGCGTCATCCCCCCAGTTACTACGAGGGGGGGTCACGTGGCGCGCCAAACACAAGTTCCCGCCAAAAGTGGTGACTACGAGCAGTGTGTGCGGGCGTTGACTCCTCACTGACCGGGCACATCCTCAAGGACTCGAAGCCGTATCCTCCCGCCAGCGAGCGACGCAGGCGGGGCAGATGGCCGAGGAATGTTCCGGTGGATGGTTTCGCGGGAACTGAAGGCAGTGTGGTGTATGTGTTAGGAGGAATCTGCGCGCTTTCAACCATATCATCCAACCGCGTCTTCCGTAAAAAGATCAATAGCTTTATTACATATTTTTTGAGCAGCTATGCAACGGATGGCTACGAAGAGCCTAGAATCACGTGGTTCAGATACTTTTAATTAACATTTATAATTACGAAATATTAGTTACGCCGAGGCGAGGTTAACGCGCAGGTGTTGCTGGTAACCGTTTTGGCGCGAACCTGGGAAATGTCGTCTGCCCTTGCCTAGTGCATTGCACTGTCTCGCTCCACACCTAAGAGCGCTAGATTTATTAAATTATTTTCAAGAACGGATGGCTGGTTGCAATAATACCATGCCCTGATGATCTGATGAGCACTTTTCGACAAGAAATAGATTGTATCGAAGACTAATTAATTCAGATTTACGCGATAAATGAGAGCACTGTTTGGCAACAGCCGTAGACGAGGGAGCAAACTGCCAAAGTGTCACAGAAGCAAACCATTATTACAGATAGCTATAACAACGGTTAGATAAATGCGCAGTTGAAAATGGTCGAGTTTGAGTAAAATCTGCCGGAAACCTTACGGCAATGGTCATCTGTTATCTATAATAAAAAAATCACAACATGGCATTACGTATTTAACGACTTATTTATACGGATAAATTGCGTGAATGTAGCGAGGTTAACAGTTCATTTACTATTAATTAAGATTTAAATATTCTTTACGTATGAATATTGACGCTATGAATTATAAATATATTTTTAATTAACATTAGATATACTGCAGGTTGGTAATCATTACCTGCCAGCAGGTGCCGGAGTTATCTAGAACATAAGAACGAAGGAACACTACAGAAGGCCTACTGGCCCATGCGAGGCAGGTCCAACTAAGCAAGAGGATATTACCCATCCTGGGAACTGGTGTTACTTGATGCCAGCAGGTCCCTCTCTAGCCTCACCTCCTTAGTTCCATTACTACTACTACTACTACTACTACTACTACCACCACCTCTACCCACGCGTCACCTCACCTGACTCCTGCCACTATATATATGAATGTTTTCTTAGTTTTCTCTGTATTAGGACTGAAGAAGCCACTCGTGGCGAAACTTTTCCTTTAATAAATGTCCTGAACTGTACATAAGTGTCTTTTTTCCACATCTTGTCGGTATCACCATACCATTTCCTCACTATAAATACTCCCGTACCTTCCACCCCAGGTAGATCTGTGTGTGACTTGAAAAAGTCCACTGTGTGGGTGAAACGTTGTCAATATGTCGGTTCTTTGAACCATTCATCTACTTTATTTCTACTGTAACTGGCAGCTAGGCTTTAAATAACCCGTCAAGAGGTGTTCCTTGATGCTAACGAGGGGGCTCTTGATCTAGAGAATTGGATCTGTTGGTAGGTAAGACACATATGCAACAGTTAAACAACTTTATTCCGAAACGTTTCGCCTACACAGTAGGCTTCTTCAGTCGAATACAGAAAGTAGGCAGGAACAGTAGAGATGTGAAGACGATGTAATCAGTCCATCACCCTTGAAGTCTTAGAATTTGAGGTTGTCAGTCCCTCGGCCTGGAGAAGTTCAGTTCCATAGTCAACCTTAAATTCTAAGACTTCAAGGGTGATGGACTGATTACATCGTCTTCACATCTCTACTGTTCCTGCCTACTTTCTGTATTCGACTGAAGAAGCCTACTGTGTAGGCGAAACGTTTCGGAATAAAGTTGTTTAACTGTTGCATATGTGTCCCAAATCTGCACACAGAAATCACTCCCTACGAAAGTAAAAGACTGGGCAGGCGATGCAAAATGCCGCCAATAAAAAGTAGGGGCGCCATTGGTACACTAAGAGAAAACACCATAAGTGTCCGGGGCCCAAAACTGTTCAACAGCCTCCCATCAAGCATTAGGGGAATTGCCAATAAACCCCTGGCTGCCTTCAAGAGAGCTGGACAGATACCTAAAGTCGGTGCCGGATCAGCCGGGCTGTGGCTCGTACGTCGGACTGCGTGCGGCCAGCAGTAACAGCCTAGTTGATCAGGCCCTGATCCATCGGGAGGCCTGGTCGTGGACCGGGCCGCGGGGGCGTTGATCCCCGGAATAACCTCCAGGTAACCTAACAACCTATCGGTATTGTATACCATTTTGATGTTCAAATGGATCTGTGCTCCAATTCCCTGAATTTAGCCCGAATGCCTTCCATATCCCTCCCCAGACGCTGTATAATCCCTACGGGTTTAGCGCTCCCCGTGATAAATTTAAAGTATTTTTTGGGCTATCCTAGGTAATTTACACACGTTACTGTGACCTGGACCTGACTAGATTGGGTCAGTGGCACAAGTCAATAGGTGAATTGGACCTGCTTAGCATGGGCCAGTAGGCCTGCTGCAGTGTTCCTTCTTTATGTTCTTATGTATGATAATTTTAGCAGTAATCTGAAACCAAGACAACAGTTGAACATCAAAATGGTATACAATACCGACAGGTTGTTAGGTAAGACACATATGCAACAGTTAGACAACTTTATTCCGAAACGTTTCGCCTACACAGTAGGCTTCTTCAGTCGAATACAGAAAGTAGGCAGGAACAGTAGAGATGTGAAGACGATGTAATCAGTCCATCACCCTTAAAGTCGTAGAATTTGAGGTTGTCAGTCCCTCGGCCTGGAGAAGTTCAATTCCATAGTCAGGAACTATCTGAAGATCAAGCATGTGTGTCTTACCTAACAACCTGTCGGTATTGTATACCATTTTGATGTAAAGTAAAAGGACACAAGTGCAACTAATGTGACATTTATTGTGGCAACGTTTCGCTCTCCAGGAGCTTTATCAAGCCATTACGTAATGGCTTGATAAAGCTCCTGGAGAGCGAAACGTTGCCACAATAAATGTCACATTAGTTGCACTTGTGTCCTTTTACTTTACATATTGTCGGTAATTCTACCAACTTTATTACCATTTTGATGTTCATCTTGTCAGACACTGCAACACGTGGCATCTTGGTACAGAAAACACCTTGGACAAACTTTTCAAGTGAGAAGGGTTGGATCTGAGAGGGACATGACCTCTCAGTTGCCTCTCACTACTACTACTACTACTACCCTGCACCTCTCCTTCCGACAGTATTTAAGTCTCCACACTGTCGCTTGATCTTCAGATAGTTCCTGACTATGGAATTGAACTTCTCCAGGCCGAGGGACTGACAACCTCAAATTCTACGACTTTAAGGGTGATGGACTGATTACATCGTCTTCACATCTCTACTGTTCCTGCCTACTTTCTGTATTCGACTGAAGAAGCCTACTGTGTAGGCGAAACGTTTCGGAATAAAGTTGTCTAACTGTTGCATATGTGTCTTACCTAACAACCTGTCGGTATTGTATACCATTTTGATGTTCATCTTGTCAGACACTGCAACACGTGGCATCTTGGTACAGAAAACACCTTGGACAAACTTTTCAAGTGAGAAGGGTTGGATCTGAGAGGGACATGACCTCTCAGTTGCCTCTCACTACTACTACTACTACTACCCTGCACCTCTCCTTCCGACAGTATTTAAGTCTCCACACTGTCGCTTGATCTTCAGATAGTTCCTGATATGGAATTGAACTTCTCCAGGCCGAGGGACTGACAACCTCAAATTCTACGACTTTAAGGGTGATGGACTGATTACATCGTCTTCACATCTCTACTGTTCCTGCCTACTTTCTGTATTCGACTGAAGAAGCCTACTGTGTAGGCGAAACGTTTCGGAATAAAGTTGTCTAACTGTTGCATATTTTGTCTTACCTAACAACCTGTCGGTATTGTATACCATTTTGATGTTCATCTTGTCAGACACTGCAACACGTGGCATCTTGGTACAGAAAACACCTTGGACAAACTTTTCAAGTGAGAAGGGTTGGATCTGAGAGGGACATGACCTCTCAGTTGCCTCTCACTACTACTACTACTACTACCCTGCACCTCTCCTTCCGACAGTATTTAAGTCTCCACACTGTCGCTTGATCTTCAGATAGTTCCTGACTATGGAATTGAACTTCTCCAGGCCGAGGGACTGACAACCTCAAATTCTACGACTTTAAGGGTGATGGACTGATTACATCGTCTTCACATCTCTACTGTTCCTGCCTACTTTCTGTATTCGACTGAAGAAGCCTACTGTGTAGGCGAAACG